TATGCACACAGTTAGCCCAGCCTGAGGCTCACACTGCCATGGCTACACTTCTAGTTTTAGCATGCAACCGCAATCAGTGAGGGCGGTTTTGCCTACCTGGGCTGGCAGCCATGCAGACATACCCACAGACCACCCTTAGGCCCCCAGCCCTGCCTCTGATGTACCCTTTCCATAAGGTCACCTGTGCTAGTTCTACCCTATTGTGGGAAGAAACTGGTAACTCCATCCTTCCAACAAGGAGGGGAACAGGAAATCTTGCCCACAGTGCCCCTTATGTAAAACATCCACAGGCTATAAGATTTTGCTTAATATTGTCTGTACATCTGTATTTAATTTAAGATTCCACCCCAAACAATTTAATCCTAGATTGCAGAAGCATGTAAACAAACGAGCAGTTCTAGTCTCTCTTTATCTGTCAATATTTCCATTCAAGCCCTGATAGAATACACATTAAATTGCTGTAGCTCTTAATTTTACATTTCCTGGTGTTTATCCAAACTTTTACTTATCTATATAAAAACAATGTATTTTTAAGTGGTCAGAGTTAAGTAATGGAATCATGAAAATGTAAATAGCAAAACATACATTGTAGAAGCTGCAGTTCACAATATTGACAAATTATGAACTCTGGAATAATTTGTCAGCATGTTGATTTTGAGATTTTTATTTTACAAATAAAACACCATCATTCTATTTGTGAAAATTTGATTTTGTTTCATCCACAGAATATGTACAATCTGGTAACAGTTATGAATTCCTTAAATCCCTCATTAACTGAGGTAAGCAAGCTTTCCCACTTCAGTGTTTGACTACGCAAACTAATGTTTACAATTAACAGTAATTATAAGGACTGAATTTATTTAAACATTTGCAAAACGATCATAGGTACAAATGTGCATGATCAAATTGTCGTATTTTGATCTGAAGACAATTGCTGTTCATGAATGTAATACCTCAATAATAAAAAACAAATCTACTTAACATTTCTGCTGATTTGCTGTGCAAATTGGCTCCTACTCAACCTACAGAAAGCTATCATAGTGAAGACTATTACAGGAGAATTTCTCCAAGTCACCAAGGTCAGGTGATAACTAGACGGTTTTTCAAATATTTCACACTTGAATAGGCACATGTGACCAAAGGAATAAGAGAATTTGAGTGCCAGAACAGGTTATACCTTCTTAGATATTATGGGTGACTCTCCTAATGAGCTGCTTCAAAGAGGACTGCCTGCCCCTGTCCTGGACAAATAGATTTACTATTCTATTCTATTCCTGAGGCCTATGCTGCTCGGGAGACATTGCTGTCCATTGTTTGAGCAGTAATGCCATCTCCTCGGCCCAAAGGGGCAATAGGAGGGTTTGTGTAGGGAATCATTTCCACTTAATATTGCCACTTCCCTATGCCCCTCCCTCACGTGTATTAGCAATGTCCTGTGTTTGCTGCTAGCCTATTTTTTAATTCTCTTTTTTGTGGGCAGTGTGTTAATGATTTACTGTTTGTACTTTCTGGATAAAATTTCCTTTTAACAAAGTTCCTTTCTTTCTCTAATTTCATGTAAGCCAGATATGGCACATCTCCCAGCCGCTCACTCTGTTTTGTGCCATTCACACTGGTGAGCTAACAGAAGCCACAAGGCCTGCTTTGTGGGTGCTCAATTTCTGTTATTCCATTGGATGCTTCTCCCTGTTCCAGTGACATAAGCAAAAGCCCAACTAGAGACTGACCCTGTCAATCAGCAAAACACTTATGCATAAGAAAACTGTCTGCTCAGGGTGTCATGTTTCACAGATTCTTTTCAGACAAATTTTCATCTTTAGATATAGAGACTTATCTGCAGATTAATGGGGATTGATGGAAGGTATGAGCATATACCCCTCTTTAGAAAGTCAGGTTATTCTGAATATTCATAATATAGTATGAAGAAGGGGGAGTTGGCTCACAGATATTCACAGAATATGTATATTTAAAAAAATAAAATGCCACAAATCTACAGTGTAACTTTTAATCATGTCTTCACTGTTCAGTCTTTCTAATTGGTAGTCAGTGATATCAGCCTCTGTCAATTGTGCCTAGTAAAGGTATATTTACCTTTTCCTGCTTTTATTGTGTTCTTGTGTAAGTGACAAACATACAGTTCATTCATTTTCTTAATATAAAAAGGCAAATAGTAAATCTGGTGATGGTGAAAAAGCTTTCTGCAGTTGGCAGTATTAGATTGTCCACTTTGATTTTCAACAGTACCAGGAGAATTAATTATGAATAAAAAAACACCCTTTTATCTTCTAACATCAAAAACATTTTACCCCAATGTAAGAGAAACACAGAATTGTTCATTTTCTGTTGTATTATGTGTTTTTATATAATGAAGTTAGGGATAGGCAGATACGTTATTGTGAACAGAGTAGGCATATGGTAAAGTTGTCTTATTTCAGTCATTCTTTTAACCCCACAGGCACTATGTGAAAAATGCATTCCGTATCAACACAAAGTTCTACATCTGCTTTATTGTACTTAAAAGGAGAGAAGAAATGCCTGTAAATCTATCTCCCCAGCAAATACCAATTAAGGATTGCTCATTGCACAAGGCAGGTGCATATCTAGATAAAATTTCTGGTATCTAATTTAAACTTTACAATGTGCACAACCAGATAATCTCAATGTAAATAATTCATTTCTTCATGGCTCTTTTATGCATGTTTATGTACTACAAGCTGATCTAGATTTACTGCTGTACAGAGTATAAACTGCTTTTGCTACGTGCAGTTATTACAAACAGTAGTTGTGCTGCCTTGGTGTAAAGGCTATAATATGTTTTTAGCATTGAGCAGGAAGAAGCTGAATGTTTAAGGATGAATACTGATTCCCAGGCCTTCAGAGAGACTGAAAATTTCACAGTAATGATATGCTCCATCTCTAGGAATGGGTGCCAGTTTTACCATGAGCAGCAATGACTGCGTGACAATTTGTAGGGCTTTGTTTATGCTGTTCATCAGCCCACCCAAAAGTTGAGATGCTATATAAGATAAGTTGCAGCAGTTCCATGACATTTGCAGCAAATGCTGCCATACTCCAAAATGGATGTTTGCCAAAAAAAAAAAAAAATTTTTTTTTTGGTTGATTGTGATCAAATAACCTGGGAAATTACATTATGGTAGGAGTTAATTCTGAATACTCAACAAGTCCAATTTGTTTTCAGATAGGTAGCAGACAGTTAGGTTCCCTAACCCAGGGCCATATTTATACTGCACAAGTGGATGCTATTGGCTTAAATGAGAATGTTTGTGGAGTAAGGCATAACTGAACATTAGTAAAGGTATCCAAGGCAGGCCCTCACTGTTTACATGCATGTACTTAGAGTATGATTTAGTCTAGTGTACGTACTTAGTAATATAAGGGAAGAGTTGGTGTAAAAATGGGTTTGCTATTGTTTCCGCCATCCTTTGCATATTTCTGATTATCCTAAAAACTCTCCACCTTTAGGCAGAGTTGCCAAATTTGTAAAGGCAGCTGTGGCCTCTCTTGTGTGTTGGGTAAAAAGTACAGGAGATGTACAAAAAAGGTGCAGGAGTCTGAATATTATTTTTTACCACCATTGTAGAGTAGTGCTTCTCAAACCAGGAGGCGACTAGCATTTTACAATAGAAGTTTTGAGTTAGACAAAGCTAAAATGATGAGTAGTGCAGAGATGTTGCCAGCTTTGTATACTCTACAATCACTCTGTAAATGTAGATATTTTTGAAATAGCAGAAACATCCCTTTTTAATAGATATGCAACCTGATCCAAAAAGGCATTTGGTGTGCAAGGAGAACGCAGAATGTCTTAAGTTAGACAAGGGACAGTCAGCAACTAATGTCAAGTTAGTAAATTATTTTTACCTTGACCCCATAATGTCAGAATAACCAAGCTTAGCAGTTTGTTTTATTAAGGAAAACAGAAAATGCAGGGCTGAATGGGGAAAAAGATCTAAGATCTTGCTCCAGATTTACTCTTAACTATGTGTACCTTAATGCTGTTAAAGCCGTTACTGTTTCTTTGACCTCTTGGTATACTTAGCTTTTGCCTTTCAGAAACAGCTGGGTCTGCTAAGAAC